CCCTTCTAGAGTGACTTTCCCCTTCTTAGGGGAGGAAAGCAGTGAGCTTCCTTTTTGGTTGACCTCAACTGTGTCAGGGATTTTGATTTAAGTAGTCAGGGCAGAAGAACCAAGGATGATCCAAACTTCTAGAAAGGGTACAAGGCTGCCCCATAGTCCACCTTTCTTCAGCCACTGCTGCTCCAACCAGCACCACGGCTCCTGCCTCAGCTGCCCTGTGCCTTGCTTACTTTCTTCCCTGGCACTTCTCCGCGCCCATGCATGGGATAGGGGATGGCTGTAGGAATCCCCAGCCCTTGGGCATGCATGTCCTGGAAGTGCATGGAAGTTTTAACTCCCATGGAACAGCCTCGCTGATAGAGGCTGGAGGCTGGTGGGTAGTTCTGAGGTGCAGCTTATACAAGACTTTTCAGACAGTCCCTGCGGGATCAAGCCCGACTGACCACAGTGGTGACCAACAAGGGAATGTGTCTTTACAAGAGCTTCCCTCCTTCCCCATTTCACTGTCCCAGTCCCCCACTCCTACTCCTGATGTTACCTCCAAAACTAGACTATGTGCATGCAAACACCTGTCTCTGGCTCTGCTTTGGGAGAGAGGATGGGAACTCATAATAAACCAATTCATGTACACCTGGGAAGGTCAATATTTCCATGTAATGCATCCCCAACTTAAATGACAACTACTTCTTAATTCTTCCATTAGAGAAGGAATACAGTATTTGTGGAAAAGCCTCGAAACAGGAGGTGTGGGTTCCAGCTTAGCCACTAATTAGTTATGTGACCCAAACTACACTATTTAACCTTTTCAAGCTTAGTACCTGATCTACAAAATAAAGGAGATGAATTGGATTACATCATTGCTAACACCCCTTCCAATTCCACAACTGTATCTCTGTGAAATAAAAGCAACTGGGAGACAGTTTGTAGTAGCTGCTTTCCCCCTCATTAACCCTAGGGATTGTTTTGCCTAAAAATATGGCAGTACTTTAATGCAACTTTAGACAGGCAAGTGAATCAGCCTCCTGAAGGTCTAGATTAGAGAATGAGCAGCTATTCAGAAACTCAAAGAAACAATAAGGCTGACAAAAAGAGAACAAGCCAGCTTTTCTGGAGTCAGCAGACATTAGCCGGGGCTGCAGCATTAAGATAAGAGCAGAGTAATGAGAAAACGAGTTGCAACCAACTTCCTTGACTGCATCCCAGCGGTCACTCAGTGATTCGTCACATCCCTAACAGGGCTTAATGAATGGACTCCTACTGTTGACATTTTTTTCTCCCTTAGAACTTACTTGGAAACTTGGCTTGGGAAAATGCTTCTACTTTGAGAAAAATAACACAAAACCCTGCAAGTGTCAGACCCAGGAAATAAGAATATTAAAGGGATACAGGCTTCCATAAATAACCAATTCAGGAGCATCAATTCAGAAAAAGATGGAACAGCATGATAGTTAAGTCAAAATGAGGGCCACAAAACATGCAAAATAAATAGCCTATAAAGCAAATGAGGTTGTAGATGCCACCATTTATAAGACATACAAGACATTTATAAGATATAAGACATTCATAAGACAGATAACATAGGTACTATTATCTCCATTTTACACATGAGGAAGAGAGGCTCAGAGAGGTAAATAATTTGTCTGATGACACACAGCTGTGTAGTGGCAGAGCTAGGATTTTTTACTTTTAAAATATATTTTAAAAATTAATTAAATTTATATTTATAAAAGTAATACATACAACAGTTAACAAGTCAAACAGTACTAAAAAGCATATAATGAAATAAAGCAGTGTTTTTCATATTGCTGCCTTGTTGGCCTTTGACTGTATTTCTCAATGCTTTCATTTGATTTTTATTTTGGCCATCATGTTTTTAATTTGCAAGAGCTCTTTCTTCTTCTACAGTTTGCTCCTATTATTTTTTAAAGCATTCTGTTCTTATTTCATGGGGGCAATATTTTAGCTCTCTAAGGATATTAACAACAGTTTTTGGTTTTTGTTTTCTTCCTCCCCCTGTTTTCTCTGAATTCCATTTATTTTCTGTTTGTTTTGGTCTCTGCGTTTCACATGTGAGACTTTCATAAAATGTTCTGTGATCCTTGCTATCTGCGTGTTAAGAGTATGGCATTAAAAGGCTAAGCAGGAGTTGTATGTGTGTGTCCCATACACACACTGCATAGGACACATTTATACTAAAAATTATTCATTGTTTATCTGAAATTCAAATTTAACTGCATTTCCTGTACTTCCGTTTGCTGAATCTGAGAAACCTGGATGTGTGGCTTATAGATTCTGGCCTCTGGGTGACTGGGCTGTGGGCTTGGGGTTTCAATCCAGAGACCTGTTCCATTTGATTTCATCCCTTCTTCTGAGCTCTGCGTCTCATTCCCACCTTGAACTTTTCTCAGTCCAGAGCGCTTTCTTTCATTTCTCCAGAGAATAAACCTCTGCCCTTCTCCAGGGATAGAGGAAAGGGAGTTATCTGGCTAGGTTGGTGGAGGACTTGGTGGGCTCTGGGTGTTCTGAAAACTGACTTTTTAGTAATTTCCTTGTCTTAAGCTGTGAGCGTCACATTCACTTTTCATGGTACTCTTTGCCTCTAAGCTCCAAGCAAGGCTCTGCAAGACAAACTGGCTTGCTTCTCAGAGGTGTCCTCCTACTTTCCACTCCACTCTGCCAGATCAGTTACATTTTCCACAAATGGATTATCTCTTAGCAGTTGTTTTGGGCCCTCTCTGGTTCTCTGATTTACGCCTTTTTGTTTTTGCTTTTACATTTACTTGGTGCCATTTTAGTGGAGTTTCAGAAAGGAGAGGACATAGACACTTGGCCTCAATACACCAGGTTTAACTAGAATGCCAGAACGAGACTTAAATCCAGACCAATATAATTCCAAAGCCTTTACTCTTTGCACTGTACTGTGTCATAACCCATTCACTAGAGACCAGCAATAAACACCTGTGGCATAGATTTTCAGTTGTCTACTCAAATATCTCTCTTCCCTTTCTTTCTTGGTAATAGAACTCCTAGACTTTAGCAGGGCATATAATTACCCAAAATGAAGCCTTCCTTTCCTAACCTCCCTTCAACCTAGGGATGGCCAAGTGACTAAATTCTAACCAATGAAATGGAAGTGGAATTGTTATGTGAAGCTTCCAGAAAACTCTCTTAAAAGATAACTTGCATCACCTTTGGCCCCTTTCTTTTTTGTCCCTTCCTTCCTTCTGATAACTGGGATGTGGACATTTTGCCTGGAAAATGAGCAGCTATCTTGGACTCAGGTGGAAACCATGTGTTTGAAGGTGGCAGCACAGAAAGATAAAGTAGCCTGGGTCCCTGATGACTTAATGTAGCTACTCTGCCAACTGCAGATTGCTTATCTCCAGATTTCTTTTATGCAACAAAGAAGTAAGCTACTGTTGTTTTGGGTTTCCTGTCCCTTACAACTGAATCTAATTCTAACTGATGCAATGCGAAGTACAATAAAATTCAAAGGGAGTGACATAGGCTTCCTGGAAAAGGTGGTAGAAGATAGTTCAGCCAGATGGGGAAGTGGAGGAAGAGGATTCCAGGTAGGAATGGTGAGATGATTGGGGAACTAGGGCCACTGCATAAGGTGTTTTCACAGGGTAACATGCAGTTAACTAACAAAAAGGATTATTTTTTCTGAAAAATGAAAAACAAAGGGTAACATTAGACCTGTCCGGTTGGAGTACAAATCATGTTGGAGAGAAGTGGAAGATAAGAATGAAAAATAGTTGGGGGCAGATTATGGAGGGAGAACCTTGAAATGCAAACCAAGTTTAGAGGTTGCTTTGAAAGCAATGAAGCCACTGAAGGCTTTTAAAATGGGCGTTGGAGATGCAGGTCTAGAATGTGAAGTAATATTAGAGTGAAGAATTTCAGGGTCTCCTCTATGCCTCTATAGAGGTAATATAGCACTGAGGCCAGGGGAGTGAATCTGAGTAGAGTAGAGAAAGAAGAACATGGGTTCAGGAACTCATATGTAGAAGCAAGGAGAAAAGAAATCTATAAGGGATCCAGAAAAGGAGAGAGGAAGGCAGATGGATGTTGAGGAAGAAAAGAGAGTAGAAATTGACAATGAGGAATCAGTAAACCTGTAGATGTCTCAAAGAAGCTAGAAAATATCAGAAATGAGTAAAGGACATCGAATTTGGGGACAAGGAAGTCTCTGGTGACCTCTGAAAGTACAACGCTGGTAGAATGTGAAGGTGGATGCTGGTCTCCAAAGTGTAAGTGGGTGTTAGGAAAATAAAGGTACTCATGTGCTCCATTTATTTTAAAAGGTGGGCAGTAAAAGAAAGGCAAATTGAAAAGCAATTAAAGACCAAGGGGTCAGGTCAAAGAATTTTTTAAGGAAGGGAAGTTGTTTGGTCTTTAAGATCAGAGGAAACTGTGCATATCAGTGAAGGAAGAGATAACCAGCCTGCCAAAAGAGGTGGTACCCGAGGGAGCGGGTCTCACAGGAAACGAGCAGGATGGAATCGCCAGCTCAGATGGAGGCCTGAGCTTTGGGAAAAGGAGGACGGCTCTTCTGAGAAAGAGAGCTAGAGGACAGCCAAGGAATGAAGGCTTGGCTTTCTGGTCATCCTTTCAGCAACAAATCTTTTTCATTAGCACCATCATTGCCATTAGAGATCTAACCGGAAATCATAGTCTAAAATAGCAATCTTAGCCAGTCTCTAAAATAAAAATGGCCATCACTTAGTTTCAGCCAAGAGTCCCAAATAAGGCTAATAAAACAGAAGAAAGATATTAATCTTGTGATTGTAGCCCTGATTGTCTTGTTTTATAGACACCACACTAATGACGTTCTCTTAGATGAGGGGAAAACAACAACAACAACAAAAAGTTTAGGTCATTTACACATTGATATCAGTGCTAGAATAACAGGCAATCCCCAATATGGACCTGAAAATTAATTACAGCTTGAAACTTTAGATATCCATTTGTCAAATAGATCAAATGCCAATACCTACTCAAAGTACAGCGTGAGGTCTGTTGCTAGTATTGACTGCTTCAAATGCTGCATAAGGTCACTGTATTCCTTGGAGGACAAATTAGCAAAGATGTTGTGACCCTGGAACGAGAAAGTACAAAGTCACAAAAGACAACGTTAAATCTGAGCTTGGTGACTACATGTTTTTCTTACTTTTTTTTTTTTTTTAAAAAAGGTTTAGAAACGTGATAAAATCATTTTCTAAATAGCTTAATGACATTTTGTGCAACTACAAACAGATTCCCTGGCAAACATAGCAAAGCTAGGAGTACAATCATTGTTGAGGAGGACCACCAAGGGACACTTTATTATGCTTAGTCTTGAAGACAAAATTGAAGAGTGTTTGAACTCATCTTCCTCAGGCCATGTTTGTGCCAACAACTCCATTTAACTGCCCACGTCCTGTGGAATTACAGAGCGGAAAAGCTGACAAAACTTTCAGGAATCTTTCTGACCCCGATATATCAATACATACTAGTCTCACTAGTAAAGACTTAAGTTGGCCTTTTGGAAGCATTTGCTCTGGCAACAAATGATTTCAAGGAAGAGAAGAAACATTAGACCAGTGGTACAAATGGGGGTGATCTTGGGAATGGGCACTTCTAGCAATGTCTAGAGACATTTTTCTTGTCACACTGAGGGACGGTGCTACTGGGATCTAGTGGAGAGGCCAGGGATGCTGCTAAACATCCTACAGTACACCCTACAGACCCTACAATAAAGACTTACTTGGCCCAACATGACAATTCTGTTGAAGTTGAGAAACCCTGTGTTAAGCTGTGAAGATACGTCTGGATGGAGTGTGTGAAATTCAGGACAGTGAATAATTACTGAGTAGCTAGAATGTATAAGATACTGCTCTTGGCATAGGAGGGCTCTAAAGATGCCTTTGGCCTTGAACAACCTGCACGTACCCCTGTGTCTCCATACCTTTGAAAAGCACACTTTTTTCCATCCAAATTTGTTTTAGCCACACTAGACAGTTCCACAGTATTTTTAGTAAAGTGTGAAAAAATCCTCTTTTTTTACAGCTTTATTGGAGTATAATTGCTTTACAATGGTGTGTTAGCTTCTGCTTTATAACAAAGTGAATCAGTTATACATATACATATATCCCCATATCTCCTCCCTGTTGCATCTCCCTCCCTCCCACTCTCCCTATCCCACCCCTCTAGGTGGTCACAAACCACCGAGCTGATCTCCCTGTGCTATGCGGCTGCTTCCATGCAGCTGCTTCCCGAAAAAATCCTTCTTTAAATGACTGACAATTCACTTAATTTGCTTTGAAAGTTAAGACTTTTCATTTGTCAGGTTTTCTTAGCATGAGATATGAACTCATAAACAGGTGGTCTGGGAACTGGACCAGTTTTAAACCTAGTGTTGAGAGCCAAAAGATGGTGCAGAAGGAAGGCAGTGAAATGACTGCCTGAGAATATTTTCCAACGAGAGGTAAATTAATTCTTCCAGGGAACCAGAATATCAATTGGTAAATTACTACCTACCAGGTACCAGATGATAGATAATCTGCTTCCTTGAGTTAATTTATCTCATTGGGGGAACCCACCACTCCTTAGAGACTAAAGTATATTGGTTCCACCTGGGACCAGGTCCAGTATTAATAATAATTTTCAAATGAACTCTTCCAGACCCTTAATTCAGCCATTAGGAAGAAGACTAATAACTAAAGGAATGCCACACCATAATTCTGCCCAGCTTTCTTTGCCTCAGCCTTGCCCCATGGATCAATCACAGGCTGGTGTATTGGGGCCTGGGAAAAAGTGGTTGGTAGCTCCGGAAAAGTGGTCATCTGGATCCAGCCACACATCTAGCATCTCTCAGGGAAAGAAATATAGCTATTAGGAGCCAGTTACAGTAAAACCTAATGTGAAGTCCAGGAGAAAGTTGGTCTGAATTTGAGGATCTTGATTATTTTGAGAGTGCATTTTACTACTTTTAAAGGACATAAAGTAACTTAACACAATTTATAGTTAAGAGAGTGACAAAGCCAGCCAGGTCAGCTTTAATAATACTAATAATAAAAGTTAATTTGCGGTCAGTGTATTGCTTATATGTAAATTGGCCTTCTACAGTGCCTCAAGGGTTTGGTCTCTAAAATAGATCAGTCTCCCTAAAATACTACCTCTACTCCTTGTTTAGGGAGGAATGGTATTGATGGAAAAAAAAATGTAGAGGAAGAAAGGACTGGAGCAACTTTCTTCAGGCTATCTAACCTCTCTGTGCCTCTGCATTATTTGGAAAGTGGGGTGGTGATGACATCTGCATTTTTGCCTTTCTGATGGGCAGGATGGTGCGGGGTGAGGGGAGTGTCAGGGCAGAGCCTGAACACACCACTGCTTGGTTCCATTACTGTTATTCTGCGTTCTTCAAAGAGAACCCCCAGAGTGAAGTGCAGCCGATGTATTTTGTTTGTATGAAGACAAAGTCCGAGTTAGTGGGGTTTGTTTTCCCAGAAACAAGCAAATGACCTTCTAAGAAAACCCTGACCTCCTGTATATAATCTGTTATTACAAAGGTGAGAATGTCTGGCCTCAGGGGTGTAAACCCATCATATTACCAGTACAGAAAAGATAGTCTGACCCCAGTTTCCTCCTGTGCCTACTTCCCTCTGCCGCAGCACGCAGCTAAAACATGGCCTTCATAGGAAAATTCCAGAGCCACAGATGCTGGGATACTGGTTTCTGTCAGAGTTACTGAAAGCCTAACCCTTGATGTTTCATTCCCAACTGCAAATACATCTCCCCCAGCGGGTTTGACTTCTGCAGCTGCACTCAGGTTCCTGAGCGCTGACTCTCCTTTATGGGGTCGAAGAAGGCTTTCGTGATATTGCAAAAGACACTCCTTCTCAAGATAGGCTGGAGGAAAAAACCTCCATATTTAATGATGCTATTCCAGCAAAGCAGGGCCTTAATGATGATAATAATAATAATAATTAATGGCACAGCTAGAGAACTGACAAATAATGGGGAACAGATGATCCCTTCCTGGCCTCAAAAAAAAGTCTGTATGCCTGCAGAAAATTAAGCAGATCCTTTCTTGGCAATTTCAAACTCAGACGCCTCAGCCAGAGTCAGTTAGCGGTTTTACTTTTTTTCCATGGAGAGCTAAAAGTATAAAAGACCAACTACTTCTAACTCCTGCAATGCCACATGAAGCAAAATAAGGCATATGGCTGCAGCCCTGGGTCTCAAGTTTAGTTGCAGTTCTCACTTTCAAATCGGTCCCACCAGCAATTTTAAGTTCTCTTATCTTTTATACGTTTCTCAATTATGCGAATAAAGTGTAACTTTCTCACCCTGTTTCTGCTTCTACCATCTTTTTAAATGGGTTTCACAAAATGGAGATGTTGGGCCACTCACTACTTGGATCTGTTAGTGGGCTTCTGTATTGTTAAGAAAGGTAAGGCCATGCTCTGGTGACAAGCTGTGGCAGTCTGCTCTGCTAAGTGAATCTGAAAAGCCTCCTAACCAATAATAAAAACCCAAATGCATCAGCTCAGGACGAAAGTGAACAAGGTCCTTGGTCAGGCATCTGAAAGAATTTTTTAAAAGCCACAAAGAAAAGGTCCAATAGTGCCGATTCTCTGTATCTTCCTGTGGCATTGCAAAGAAAGAGAAGTAAGAAACATCATTTCATTGGTTTTCTTTCAAGGGGAGAAGCGGTCTGTACCTCACTTTGAAGGATCATCACTGCGTGGTTGAAATGGTGATGCTCTAAGGTAGCAGAAGTTCCATAGAGTTGGGCCAGGGCAGAGCCGCTCCTGAAAGATGACAGATGTGTGAGTGACCAAGGCCCTTCACCTGTCAACAATCCCCCAACACTGGCTCTTTGGATCAACATGTTTCTCCTGCTTCCGCAAAGGACCATGAGCAGATACACTCTCAGGTAACCACCTGTGTAGTTCACGAATGTATTAAGTAAACGTTTGGGAACCTTCTCTGTGTTAGGCTAGATGCTGTGGATGAGATACGACCATGAAAAAGACACAGCCCACGCTGCTAAGAAATTTACGGACTAGTAAGGGAGATGAGATGTGGTCCTAAGGGAAAATAATGCACAGAGCACATAATATAAATACCACAGAAAATGTTCTAGGTCCAGTCAAAGTGCTTTGGATGATCTGAGGACAAGAGACATAATTCCTGGCTTTGGGGATCAGGATAGGCTTCATGAGCTAAACCTTATAAAGCTTCTGAGTGTCCAGAACGAACGTCATATACCAAATGTATTTGTGGCTCCATGGGAAAAGACCTTGTAAATATTATGTAGAACCCATTTAATCTGCTTTACATGTAAGGTTGACAAGCTTCTACTATGGTTTTCCAACCTATAGTCACACTATGATATCTCAATGTCGAACTCCAGAAAGTCCCCTGGATTTGGAGTCAGAACTCAGCTCTCGGTAAGAGTTTCGGGTCATTACTTGGTTGCTTTAAGCATCAGTTTCTTTGTCTCTAAAATTATGATAATACTCTCTACCTCACTTGTTATTTAGGAGCATACAATAAAATACTTGTAAGTGCCTATCGTAGTGCCTGCCATGTAGTAGATTGTAGTCTATACTAATTATTAATCAACAATGAAAACACATAGATATTTCCATTTTAAATAAATAAAATGTTAATTGATACTTGAAAGGATAATGTTGAATTATCTGTATATTTTGCTCATGTAGAACAACCCATTCCTCAACAATGTCAGTCTGGCAAGTGCTCATTTAAAATGTTCCAGTGTGTTCATTTCCAATTCTCCTGAAGTAGCATTTAGAGCATCTTAAGAGTTGAGAGACATTCTGAGAATCCTATGGTTTAAAGGACAGTCATGGGATGGCAGCCGAGGACCCATGAAGGTCCTTGTGTTCCTTCTTGCTAATTGCAGAGAGTGTGGACATTGAAAGGGCAATTTGGCCTTAACCTGGAAATGCCAGAGATTGCCCGATCACAGTCTGCCCTTTTAGTGAGAGGAGCAAAGACTGCATGTAATGCCACGTGAGGGATTTCAGTAATAAGGTGCCCTCTAGCTCCAGCATGAGGCGGCCCAAGATCATGGCCGGTTTGGGGGTGCGGGGGACCTGTGATCTCTGGAAAGACTCAGAGCTGACCACATGTTGGAATAAAACAGCAGGGTTAGGGGTTATTAGGAATAGGGTTACTAAGCAGGGTACTAGAGTTTAATCAGGTGGTGTTATTTCTTTAACTCTTGCCTTAATCTATATCATTTAATACATGAAAATTTGTTAGGCTAATCTTAGCATTAAGTGATTAATATTTAACGTTAGTCACTATTTTTCTAACATAGAGTTCATTTTTATGAAAATACATTTTTCAAAATGCACACTGTATTGTGTCTTAGCTGTATTTGTCTTGGCTTTTGAAATTCTAGGATGTTTTATATACATGTCAAATCCAAATGCCTGGCATGGAGTAGGTGCATAAAAAATATTAGTTGCTTGGCTAATAAGGTTGTGGTGGTACGTCTAGAGATTATAGTTCAAACTGAAGGTTGACCATAATAAGTGTGTTAACATTTTAAAATAATGTTATTAATAATAATAGCTCTCGTGAGAAGTACCTGTCATGAACTAGGCAACATATTAACACTTCAGTATATTACTTCATCTAGTCCTGACAACAACCATGAAATAGGTATTATTTTCTCATTTTACAGACAAGGAAACCAAAGCTCAGAGAAGTTATGCTACTTTTCCAAGGTCACAAAGCTAGTAAGTACCAGTTCTAGACTGGAAGCCAAATTGTGAAGCTTTTTCTCATTACATAATGAGAAAGATAATTATAACTTATACATTTATTCAGTTCTCCATTTTTGCCAAGCTGGTTGTCATCAATGAAAGAAGTTTTCAAAATTTAATTCAGAATTCTTCTAGTATAACTGCTAACCACAGGCTCAGGTTCCTGTGATTTGTTTCTATTAACTAGCCATGCCAGATGTGCCCCAGTTACTGGTATGAATCCTGATAAGAGAGTCATTGATGTAAAGTAGGGTCAAGATGCAAAGTATCATCTCTTCCTTTATCAGGTTGGTTTAGCAGACCTCACAAAGTTAAATCAGCTACATGATAACAAGTCACTAAATATTTTCTTTTTTCAGGATGAGTAGGATGTTTCCTCCTTTAACCAGGGGACACCTTGTAACAAAAACACTGGTGGCTCCTATGCTGCCCTCTCCTCTCCACCAGATCCACATGGATGCTGAACTGCTGCATTTCATCAGAGGGCTCTCAGGGTGTTTGTGCAAATGCATCTGATGGCCCACGGTTTGAGCATCTTCATCCTCACATTCTCTTTGTTCCTTTTAGTAATTCCATCTTACATTGTCCCCACCCTCACACAATACTGATTTAATCACAAATATGTAGATTTTGCAACAGAACCAGACTAATGCTATGAAGAGACTGTGATTGATTGACTGATTCATTCATTCATTCACCTAATAAGGATTGATGACTACTGCAATGCGGGGCTGTGGGCATGTGGGATACAAAGATAAAGAAGACATGGCTCTTACCCTCAGGAAGCTCACAGTCCCCTGTAACTGCACAGGAGACTTTCTCTGTCCAGACTTGCACTTACGATGTCACCTTTCTGCAAGCAAGGTGCCATCTTAGCATTCACAGCATGGAGCATGATACTAACTCTACTTTTTTTGTCTAGAATGAAATCATCTAAGCAAGAATGCTTCCAATTCCATATGGTTCCTTTATTTACATTACTAGGTTTGGTCTCTGTCAGATTTTCTAAGACTGCAAGACATCCTGGTGCTTTCTCTCTCAGTCCAAGGCTCACTGAGAATGCGCCTACACCTGCCATTACTCATGCACATGCTATGAACCTCCTAGGACCGCAAGAGTGAAGTCCGTGGTCAGAAAACTTGAAAAAAGTGGCAAAAATTAAAATCTATCTGTTAGGATAAACTTTATCAAAATGTATTCTACAGAATACTAGTTCTTTGGAATGTTAAATTGCATTACAGGCAGAAATAAAAATGGTTCCATGGTTAAATATGTTCGGGAAATGCTGGATTTAAAAAGTTAAACTGTTTCTTTATTATAGGATTTCTCCATGGCATCAATATGTGAAAATATGCATTGTGATTCTGCAGGAAGGGGACGTAATATGCAGTATTGACCAATCTTACTTGATCATAAAACCATTTTTAAAAAAGAGGACATGTCTTTCATGTAATGTACTTTATGTAAAGGCATACTGTCATTTTTCATGTAAAATGTGAAAAAAAAAAGCCCTCAAATCAATCACATGTGGAAAAAAATTGACTTTAGCACCACACCTCACTTTAATTGTCTGTGGTAAGTAAATCCATCATATCAGTAGCTCCGGGGCACATGCACTGTAATTGTGAAAATATTACAGATACATGTAGGGTATGTGGAGACAGGGCGAGAGAAGGAGAGCAGAAGAGAATCCAGATCCCTTTAAGCACAGGAAGATTTATACCTGTGATCTTTCATGATGCTCATTATTGATTAGGTCATCCCAACATACTGAAGTTTTTAATTTTTGGACAGGCAGCACACTGAGGAGAAACTTATTAAAAAGAAAAGTCAGGGCTTCCCTGGTGGTGCAGTGTGTGGGAGTCCGCCTGCCGATGCAGAGGACACGGGTGCGTGCCCCGGTCCGGGAAGATCCCACATGCTGCGGAGCGGCTGGGCCCGTGAGCCATGGCCGCTCAGACTGTGCTCCGCAACGGGAGAGGCCACAACAGTGAGAGAGGCCCGTGTACCGCAAAAAAAAAAAAAAAAAAAAAAAAAAATA